ACCTGAACGGAATTGATCCAACCTGATCTGACCCGACATAACCTAATCCGACGTGAACTGACCTAATTCGACCTGAAATGACCCGACTTCACCTGACCTAATCCGACCATGCCCGACCTGAATTGACCTATTCTGACGCAACACGAATTAATCCGACCTTGCCAGACCCAATACAACTTGACCTGATCCAACCCGAACTGAACTGATTCCACCTGATCTGACCCGAAATGCCCAGACGTTACCTGTACTGACCTAACCTGACGAGACGACCCCTACATCTAGTACTACTAGACCCCAAAAACGTAACGTTTATCACTTACCTGTTACATGAACCCTGGTGAACCGTATCGGACAAGGCATAATCTCCTGACACCGGACACAACTCACTGACTACCGAGTACTGCATTCCCAGACCGCAACGCCGAATGTCCTACACATCAGTTGCCGAATGTCTTGCAACATACAAGGGGCGCCAACAGATACAAGGCACAATACCTTTCACGTCCGTAGGTTTCCACATACTATCCACTAGTTATTGAATGCCGTAATAGGATCACTACGCCGAACGGCGCTTATCTGAAACAAAGTACCGTGCATCAAATACCGAGAATACCCAGTAGTCGACGACACCAAATGTCGCACCCCTGGCACAACGTTCAGAACGTCGGACCTGGATTCCAAAAATACATTTCACACCACACATAGTACCGAACGTGGAGACCGCACCCTGATATAACACTCCCGACCACCAGCGCCTCACACTCTCGTACAGCACCGCAGTACTTTACCCCTGACCCCCTAGTTCCGGATTTCTAATATCGGCACGGACCCCTATATCGCACTCTTCATACCGGACATCGAAATCTGACTACGGACATCCGGCCTCTGCAGCAAACACCGCACCCCGATTCCGGAATATTGCTGTCCGACTACCGCATGGGATACCTGGCACAACATTCGCGACCTCAAGATAGGGCCACTCCCGTATAAGGCGTTCAACACACATCGGACGCGGATTCGAGATACCAGATCTGGGAGTGGCGTTAGATGTGTGTATGGTGTTACGCGATAGGTGGCATAACTGGGGCATGAAGTGTGTGGCCATTTACTGTGGATGTGCGGTGTCGCATTTAGGGTACGAGACTTGGGTGTGGGATATGGTGTGATATGAGGCTCGAATTCAGATGAACATAAAAATAACAAGTACACAGCGTTGCATTATTAAACAAACAACATATGACAACATCGAAACTTACTGTACAGTTGTTTAAGAAAATGTACTTCTTATGTATTTCAAACTGATAAAAACACTAGAATGTTAAATGTACTCACTATGAATCATTAACTCATCTTCTATAGCTATAGCATGCATAGCGCCTTAAAGTAATTATGAACTTATTTATCAGTTTATATGAATAAACAGTATAATGGCCTTTATTCCCACCATTATTGACTGCCAATTGTTGTTAGGTTAGCGGTAAGCAGCAAACAACAAAGTCCAGGGAGTCCTACAGCACAGTAGACTATTAAGTCAACGATCTGCAAATAATCGACAAGAAAAACAAATTAACTGTTATAAAAGAAATAATATGAAACATATAACAAAAAAGCACCATAAACGAAATGAACTAGCAAAATTAACAAAAGTAGCCCAATGTCAAATGTACTCACTAATATATATGATCAGTTCAGCTATCTATCAACCTTCTTCTCTGTTCATTAAGTGATTCAAATGATTGTAACTTTGTATTAATTAATAGTGAACACCTATTACTTAAACAGCTTGCCAATAGTAAAGTGCTCATTTCTTATAAAAAACAAGTTAACGTTTTGGAACATTGTACTGGTGAATTTTATACTAGTTTTGTTGACAAAAACTTCATTGTATCATCATAGGAAGATGGTTCAGCGTTGCTTTAAGACATCATAATCACTTAATCAACACATGGTCAACAACTAAGAACAAGGGATTACTTACTTAAGAATTAGATACTGACACAATTACAGAGACGATCCCCAGATATTGCACTGCTATTTGACTGCAAATTCGTTTCAACAAAGTCCAGGGAGTCCTACACTACAGTACACTATTAAGTCAACGATCTGCAAATAATCAACAAGAAAAACAAATTAACGAAGTAAATAACATGAAATAAATGACAAAAACGCACCAAAAACCAACTGAAATACCAAAATTAACCCAAGTATTACAAGCTTCCCCTTTAAAAAATACAATCAATTGTCAAAATAACAAAATCAAATAACTATAGATGCAAGTTAACCTCAACTTATGCTATGGAGAAATTGGGTGCGTTCCATTAAGTTCATTATAGATGAAAGGAAAAATTACAGACAAAGCAAAGCATACCCTGGTCAAATTAAATAAACATGTTGCATTTTCAAAAATTTAGCCTATAATATATAGGTCAAATGAACTCACTAATATTTATATTCAGTTCAGCTATCTATCAACCTCCTTCTCTGTTCATTAAGTGATTCAAATGATTGTAACTTTGTATTTATTAATAGTGAACACCTATTACTTAAACAGCTTGCTAATAGTAAAGTGCTCGTTTCTTATAAAAAGCAAGTTAACGTTTTCGAACATTGTACTGGTGCTAATATATATGATCAGTTCAGCTATCTATCAACCTTCTTCTCTGTTCATTAAGTGATTCAAATGATTGTAACTTTGTATTAATTAATAGTGAACACCTATTACTTAAACAGCTTGCCAATAGTAAAGTGCTCATTTCTTATAAAAAACAAGTTAACGTTTTGGAACATTGTACTGGTGAATTTTATACTAGTTTTGTTGACAAAAACTTCATTGTATCATCATAGGAAGATGGTTCAGCGTTGCTTTAAGACATCATAATCACTTAATCAACACATGGTCAACAACTAAGAACAAGGGATTACTTACTTAAGAATTAGATACTGACACAATTACAGAGACGATCCCCAGATATTGCACTGCTATTTGACTGCAAATTCGTTTCAACAAAGTCCAGGGAGTCCTACACTACAGTACACTATTAAGTCAACGATCTGCAAATAATCAACAAGAAAAACAAATTAACGAAGTAAATAACATGAAATAAATGACAAAAACGCACCAAAAACCAACTGAAATACCAAAATTAACCCAAGTATTACAAGCTTCCCCTTTAAAAAATACAATCAATTGTCAAAATAACAAAATCAAATAACTATAGATGCAAGTTAACCTCAACTTATGCTATGGAGAAATTGGGTGCGTTCCATTAAGTTCATTATAGATGAAAGGAAAAATTACAGACAAAGCAAAACAGACCCTAGTCAAAGAAGATAAAAAAATAGAGTGTGTAATATTATGTTAAATGATTGCACTATTTTTTTTTTGAAGTGTAGACAACTCACCTTGTCTTAATTGCACTAATAACAAAGAAGACCAACCTCTTTAAGCTCTGCATGCTGGAATCTTTCTACAAATGAAAACTGATTTACACAAAGTTCAATTGTGCTGCTGAGTAGATCGCCGTTGTGGCAAACTGATGGCAATACGCTATCACAGTGTAGTAGTTTTGTGTCTATTATTACATCGGTTAATATTAATATAAAATAATATTAAATATTGTTGAGAATTTGGCAAGTGTTGTGTAAATTGCAGTTTATTACTATCTATTGCCTAGTAAAATGGTTAAAAATAAAATGCCTGAAGGGTAAGTGCAAATAAGAATTAACAGTTACTCTCAAGAACACTACAATTAATTAAAATTATGTGATATTGTCAACTGAAACACTTAGCTTAGATACCAAAACATTTAAAGTAGAATTACACAACCTAGTACAGTGTAACTTCTGTACTGTGATTACAGAGGGCGGTATGGGTTGCATTTGATTCAAGTGGTTCATATAATGTGCAATGCATCAATATGATATAAAACTTGAACCCACACATTAAAACACTCTTCTCTCATGAAATATATTACATTTTCAAATGATTTTGTTTAACTGTTTATTTATATCTGATCCGACGGGAATTGAACCTTGATGAAACTTGTACAAACTAGAGTGGGTGGATCAGCCTGCGAGTTTCTATGATTATGGGAACCGGACCATAGGTTCAACCATAATGGTGGGGTTCATAAAGAGAAACCAGACTAAAACAAGTCTCTGAAAGAGGGCAGTAGCTCTTTGAGTACTCAGGGTGGTAGAGATCACGAGGATCGGTGTGACACTCTATGCACAATGCTGCGATGTTGAAGGCAACGGGGAAACCACCACATTATGATCCCTGGTAAAACGTTCAACTACAGAAATGAAATGATGGCGTCTTCTGGGGTAAAGAACTCCGGACGTAAACTAGTTCCCCATTCGGATGTCTTAGGGGGGACTACCTCGTGAGATGTCATTAATAAGTGTAATAAGGGTAGGTGCAATATTTCACGAGTCGGAGTGTGGAATGTTAGGACAATGAGGCAAGTGGGGACATTGGAAAATTTAAATGTGGAGATGAATACGCTAGAATGAGATATAGTAGGCGGTATCGGTGGAAGGTAATTCGAGGGTAGGAATTATAATGCGTAGGAAAGCATGGCAAAGTGTAGAAAGTTATTTACAAAAATACAATAGGATAGTTATGGTTAAATTAAACCAGAAGCCGAATAAAAACGGTATTAGTGCAGGTCTATATGCCTACATCATCTTACAGTGTTGAAGACGTAGAAGCGGTGTATGCAGATATAGAAGACGTGTTAACTTTAGTAAAATGGCAGGAAAACGTAATAGTTGTTGGAAAAAAAAAACTTAAAAAATATTAAGGCGCCAGGTATAGATGGAATACAGGGTTGAGTTAGCTAGTTAGTCACATTTACGAGACGGGGAAAGTCCCAGAGGATTATAAACGGAACGTGGTAGTAACCATACCTAAAAAGAGAAGCGCTGATATGCGCAAGAATTTTAGAATAATTAGCTTAACTTCCCATGCGTCAAACATCTTAACTGGAATTGTACTGAGGATGGAAGAAAGGGTGGAACTTAGAGATAGCTTTAAATAGAATGGAAGTGGCACTGATAAAACAGTACTGTATGAAAATAAATAAAAGTAAAACAAAGTACTGGTACGCAAGGGAAGAAAAAGTAGGGAAAGAGCGAATATAAAGATAGAAGACAAAAAATTAGAGGAAGTGGCTAATTTTAGGTGTCTAGGAAGTCAGATAAGTTAGAAATCAGAGGATAGCGCAGGATCGTATCGCCTTCAATAAAAAAAAGTTGCTTCTATGCTCGCGAACGGTTAATTTAGAAATTCGAAAAAGTTTGTTAAAAGTGTATTTTTTTATACCACTACTTAATGCTCAGGAAGAAAAGGAGCTAGCATCTCGTATCATACGATTAAGCGATGTTGGATACCCTTTGACTCCATGTATACTTCGCATGTGCGCCAAGAAGTATTGTGAGCCAACAATATTATTTATTATATTATTATTTTCTATTTATTAATGTTAACTTTAAAAATAATTTGTGTTTGATATTATTA